GACTGCAAGGAATGTAAGGGCCTTTTACGCACAGGTGTGATTACACCAAATTTCACAACGTGGACAAGCTCTGTGTCTCCATGTGTGTCAAGCCTTTTGGAAGTGAGCAATGCTATTATTAAAAATATAGATAACCCAGTTTGTGATGGGCATGTGGACCACACAGTGATTCACAAGCCTGGTGGAAAGCATCATTTAAATATCCTGGTAAAGAATGCTGGAGTGGAGTCCTGGTGCAAATAAACACGGATGGCATGGGGAAATGTCATGATGATTGAAAAGCCCAATTTAGATTTTTTTTGGACAGGAGATTGAAAGCCAGGACTTCCAGGTAGCTTTATCTGAACTACACAATACACATTACACATTACACCCCTTCCTTACACAATGCCAGCTAGAAGAGTTTGTTGAAAGCCAGGACTTCCAGGTAGCTTTATTTGAACTACCACCCCTTCCTTACACAATGCCAACTAGAAGAGTTTCAGTGCATGGGTGAGACAGTGATGTGGCGAGAAGGGGGTTAGATCTGTTAAACACTGGAGACCAATGTGGGGCAAGCCAGGCCTGTACAACAGGGTGGGTTCCACTTGAGTCAGAAGACAATCAGAATGCCAGCACTTAACATCAACAAGTTAGGAAAGCAACTTTGAAGCCAAGCCCTAAGGGAAACCTAGCCCAGCAGACAATTGCTGAAGAACTTTCCAGTCTGGGATGACTCATCCTTAGGAATGAGGGGCTTTACAGCTGTGAGAATAGGCACTAAATAGCAAGTATGATTCAGTGTGACCCACTATAAAGTGATGTACAGTGGGACTAAAAAGGCATAACTTTGCATATGTACTGATGGAGTGTAAGCTAGAACTGATGACCATGAAAGAGTTCTTGAGGCTGTCCTGGGTAGCTGGATGAAATTCCCAACTATGTGTTTGCTGCAAAAAAAAAAAGACTAATTCCGCATTGACATTCACTAAGAATACAACTGAAAATAAAAGTGCCAATATCATAATGCCATCATATGATGTGGCCACACTTGGAACAGCATATAAGTTCTAGTCACTATACCTTGGAAAGACAAGCAAATAAAATGATCAGCTCATCTGGAAGGAGGTTACAATGCTAGTCTTTTTGTTGTTGTTGCAGTTCAGTTTAGAAAAAAAAAAGTTAAGGAAGGATATGATGAAAGGTCTATAAAACTATGCATTTTAAAAAGTTGGCTGCAGTTCACGAAAGCTTATGCCAAATAAAATGTTGAGGTGCCGTAAGACTCATTCTTGTTCAAAAGTATGTATAGTATGCACTTAATTTCAGAACAGAGCATCATCTACAGATGGTGAATGGTGGAAGATTCAGGGTAAGAATTATTTCTTCATAATAGTTCAGAATAAAATACACTGAAACTGTAAGAGTTGATTACTAAGATGCCATGGTGGCGAATTTCGATGGCTTTATGAGAGGCTTTATAAAGGATAAAACTATCAATGGCTGCCAGTTATTATGCATATATATGACCTCTAGTACCTGCAGTACCTATTGTACTAATGTTCTGCTTGGGAGCTTCCCATAGGTACCTGGTCAGCAACTGTGGCAACAGGTTACTGGATTAGAGAGATCTACAATGCATTATGTGCATTGCAAATATGGTCAACTATGTCAGTGTCACATTTTACATCTACACTGTTCACGTGTGAGCTCTAGTAACAGTAACAACCAAAACCACTGCTGGATTTATTTTTGTGTTATCCATTTCTTGATGGTATGTGAGCTGACCACGCAACCAGGCTTAAACTGTCGATAGGGACACTGCTCCAGAAGCACCTCAGCCAATCCGAGGGGAATCTACTGTGAAGTTGGTTAATTCTAGTGCATTTGGGCTGTTCTTTGGTTGACATGCAAGGTGACTACTTACTGCTTAGTGAGTATGGTGCTACTCTGGCTGACAGACCCTTTGGTGAGGAAAGGTGCAGTGATGGGCTCCAAGAGTAGAAATTTAAATTTAATTGAACTCTGGTGGACTACTTAACAAAAGATTTTAAACTGCTTTAATATTGTTTGTTTTGCATATTTGAGAGAACCATGTTTTGTAATGTAAATGATCTGGAAGCTTTTCAGGGAAGATTAAAGCAGTTATAAAAACAAATAAACTAATGTCAAGGATTTAGTCTACCTCTTGCTTGGTAGTTAAAGTATGGAGGTAGAACCAGAGAGAATTCTGAAACTACTCTCAATGAAAACATTTTATTAAGTTCAGCCCATTGTAGTATTAACTGTTCAAGCTTCACTTCTGTTTCACTACATTTTCTTTCTCAGTTCATGGTTTCATGAGACAGTGTCTGTGTGGTGGTATTATTTAGACTGAGCTTGTTTTATATTGCGGATGTGAAGTACAGCAATATTGTTTGTTTTGCATATTTGAGAGAACCATGTTTTGTAATGTAAATGATCTGGAAGCTTTTCAGGGAAGATTAAAGCAGTTATAAAAACAAATAAACTAATGTCAAGGATTTAGTCTACCTCTTGCTTGGTAGTTAAAGTATGGAGGTAGAACCAGACAGAATTCTGAAACTGCTCTCAATGAAAACAACATTTTATTAAGTTCAGCCCATTCTAGTATTAACTGTTCAAGCTTCACTTCGGTTTCACTACATCTTCTTTCTCAGTTCATGGTTTCGTGTGACAGTGTCTGTGTGGTGGTATTATTTAGACTGAGCTTGTTTTATATTGCGGATGTGAAGTACAGCTATTCTAGAAAATAATGAAGAGAGCACAAAGAGTGTCATTTAAGGTAGATGCAAGGGCATGATGGATGCTTCAAGTGAAGCAATAATAAGGATACAGGTATGTGTCTCAGAGGAAAAGCATACTTTTCAGAAAGTCATTTTTTTTCCCTTTGGGGGTATGGTGGAGCAGCACTGGCCAGTGTGATGGGGCTGTAGTGGCAGCTTCCAGGCTTTTCCATTTTGTTGTGGGACAGAGCTTCATGTTTCTCTGACTCTAAGCTGTCCTGCTGCCCTCCCATGTATTGAAGGAATGGATGCCAGCACTTCAGTTCTGCCAGTTGGCTGGCTTCTATACAAGTGTGTTTGTACCATCTTATCTTTCATAGAGAATGAAATATTTTGGGCCACGCCGTTCCACACAGGAGAGAAACTGAGTTTTAGAGGGGAGGCTTAGTGCCTTTCTGGAAGAATGGAAACATTGGGTCTGTGAGCTGGCCACAGGCAACATGCATCAGAATAGAGATGTGGAAGACAGCTTCTCACTTCCAGTGAGAAACTGAGGGGAAAAAATCCTGCTTTTCTCCTTGCAGGATTTCTCTGGGGAAAAATAAAATCCCCCACTGTTCTCCTTGCAATCAGTTGTTATGTGTCATCAAGTTGGAATTGACTTATAGCCACCCTAACAGGCCTTTCAAGTTAAGAGAGATATTTGTGTGGTTTTAACAGTTCCATCCCCTCCTCCTGCGAGTTTTCCATGGCTGAATGAGGACTACAACCCAGGCCTCCATCATTCTATCCATTACACCACTCTGGGCATCCCTTGCAGTTAGAGCTCTTATTTTTGGAGAAATCCAACATGAGATACTGAAGGATGCATAGGAAATATTGGATATTATGGCCTTTTTTTCTGGAGGAAACATCTATTTGCACAGAATTATTACAATGCCTGTTCAAAATGTCCCTTTTCCTGCATAAGACTCCCCGGAAAAAAACACTGAGCAGCACAGAATTTGACAAAGAGCAGGAAAAATAGAACACAACAAGAAAAAGCAAACCAACCAACAACAGGAAAAGAGACTGGGGGTCTTATTTTTGCAAGTCTTGGCATGTTGAGGCTTAAAAAAAACCTGATAAGCAGATTTTTTCTTTAAAAGAAATTCTCCCCATCCCAATTACAGAATGTGTTCTAAAAAGGCCATTACTGATTTCCAAAGAAAAGTGGAGATAAGTTTAGGGCTTAAGTCCTGCAATGTTTACATAGGAGAAAGGTCAACCTGAGCTCTTTCCATGTACAAGATGGAGTTGTAGAAGGGATCTCTGAATGTTTCCCTACAAGAAGTATGGAAACCTGTGTTGGGCCACAGAAGGAAGATGCAAAATACATTTCACAGCTTAGCTATACTTTGGCCACAAGCTATCAGGACCAAACAAAATTTGCAAAGTACCAAATTAACATTCTCCATTCCCCCCACAACAGGTTGGAGTGGCGATTAAGTAAAAAAAAAAAAAAAAAATGGGAAGGGGAGGAAGAGCAGGAGAGTGACTGCTCACTATATTACGATGGTTTAGGGAGTATGACATCCAAAAATCGTATGAAATCACGTGACACCCGTGCCTCGGATCCACGTTTTTGCAACCCTGCAGATTTATACACTCAAGGATCCGTGATTTCTATGTTGTAACTTGTGGGCATAGATAAGATCTACGATTTGATGGTGATGCACAAATCATATGAAATCATCAGGATCCGTTCTTGCATTCATGGATCTGTCTTTTACCCAGACCCGTACTGCCCTAGATAAAAATTCCCTTTAAGGCAGTTAAACCAAGTTCTGGTCTCCTCAGAAGTAAGTTTTCGACACACTGAGCGGAGCTCCGGCTGTAAACATTTCAACTCCTCTTAGGGAAAAGCCTTCCCGTTTGACTTTACTAAAGCGAAGCACAAGGATCCTAATACGACGCAACGGGGACTCTTAAGGTACAGGGAGGGTGGCCGCACAGAGAGTGGGGAGCAAGCGGGGGCATTTCAGCAGGTGTAGCTGGACACGAAACTCTTAAAGGCACAGGAGCCCTTTTCCTCGTTATTCCCACCCACCCCCCGGCCGCGCGCGGCCGCCCTCTAGCCCCCCCCCCCCCCCCCCCCGTCTTCCCGAGCCGCGGCTCGGGCTGTTCTCCCCTCGGAGGCGGCGGCGACCTCCGTGCCTCGACGCGCGTCTCACTTCTGAGCCGACCCCGTTTGAAGCAATGGGGTATAGTCGGCCTACGGCAGCCGCCGCCCGCCCTCATATGTCTGCGGCGGTCCCTGCGCCCACCGGATTCCACCGCCCTCTCTCGCTGGGCTGACTTGCATCGAAAAGGCGGCGGGGGGGGGAAGGAAAGGGGAGTGTGTGTGTGTGTTTGTGTGTCGAGGCGGCGCGCGCGGCGGCGGCTGCGGCGGGCGGTGTTGTTAAAACACTTTCTTACCGTAAGAGGGAGTTGGGACCCAGCGCGTTCCAGTTAATCACACAACAACAAAAACTTGGGTCATCGCAATAAAAAGCAGCTCGGCTTGCTGCGTCTCTTCTGTTGCACGGCTGGGCATCTTCCTTTCACCACCTTTGGCGCCCTTTCGGGGTGACCCAAGAAAAAGCGCAGCTTCTCAAACCACCCATGTGGGCCATCCAGCTGTTGCCCCTCGGACTCGTCCTTCAGTCCCTCCTGGACGCCCCTCTGGCAGGTGAGTGGCCGCTTTTCTCTCCCTTTTATTTTTTTTTTAAAAAAAGCAACGGTGTTCTCAGGGCATCCTTGGTTGCCTTTTCCAAACGGGCATGTGTGGGTGCACATTCTTCTCGCAGATACAAGTCCGGGAGGCTTACAGAGTGTAAGTAGGCACGTGCAGTTACACGAAGAAAAAGAGAAAAAAGCCTCTTGGAATTTCTTGCGCCCGAAGTGCCCAAACCTAACTTCTTGCTGGAAGGACTTGCAGAAGTCGGAGAAAAGCGCCCGGCCCCCGAAGGGTTAAATGTACCTGAACGCGCCCTTCTCGGCCCCAGGTTTAAATTCGGGGATCCAAGCCATATATTGGTCACTTTTATTCGTGCAAAAAAAAAAAAGTGGCCCCAGAAAACACCCCCCCCGGGTTGTCCTTCCTAAGCAAGTGGGAACGGGATGGGGAGACTTTTTGGCTGGGGTTGACGCAGCAAACATGCATTTGGTCGCACGCATTTTCTTTTTGCAAGCGATTTTTGGAAATGTTCGCGGATCCGGTGCAGGAGGATAGCTGGGCATTGCTTGCCTGTGCAAACGCACGCATCTCCACCCCGAGGAGGAAAATGCGTTTTTCGTGCCCACTGCCAGCGTGAGCCTGGAGAACTGTATAGTAGAAGGCGGATCGCTTGGGGAACTGAGCGGATTCGTGGTTTTGAAAGGAAGACGCGGAGTTGCGCGGGGAGGGTGGGAAGAGAGAGAAGGTATAGGCTTCCAGGCCCTCTCAGCTGTGAACAGGACAAGCGGAAACATCTGTCCCCCTATTGCTGGGGAATTGATTACACGGAGAGCCGTGCGCGATGCCAGCGGACATCCTAACCTCACCGGACCTATTTCTAAAGCTGGGAACCAGCGCCTAAACGCGCGTTTAGGGCATGTCCTTGTGTGTGCCCAGCGCCGTCAACTATTTCTGGAGCCAGTTAATTAACATTTCGTCTCTGAGCCAATCAAATTCGCGCGGCTTGTGGAACGTAGGAAGAGGGAACAATAAGCAATCAACAATTGGAAACTGCTGAGTTATGTTGTGCGTGTGAACGGTGAAACGATTCCGCTCCTGTTCCTCTTTGCTCTTTCTTTGGGGGTTTTCTTAATTGTTTCATTGGCTTCTGGTTCTTTGGAAAAGTCCCTTTGGGTTTCTTTCCTTTTCCTTTGACACTCATCCAGGCATGTCAGTGGGAGGAAAACAGAAGGGAAAAGATTCCCGGTAAGGTGGCAACAGCTTACACAGCAAACTCGTGAGCAAGTTGGGTTCATGAGAGAATCACGCTCAACACACTATCCTTAGGCGGCCAACGCTCCTGTTCCTCTTTGCTCTTTCTTTGGGGTTTTTCTTAATTGTTTCATTGGCTTCTCGTTCTTTGGAAAAGCCCCTTGGGTTTCTTTCCTTTTCCTTTGACGCTCATCCAGGCATGTCAGTGGGCGGAAAACAGAAGGGAAAAGATTCCCTGTAAGGTGGCAAGAGCTTACACAGCAAACTCGTGAGCAAGTTGGGTTCACGAGAGAATCACGCTCAACACACTGTCCTTAGGCGGCCAACGCAAAAGGATGGTTGCAGGTGGATCGTGGAGGTTTTGCTAGTTTTCTCCAAGAGTTTGTTTACACAGCTGTGGTCCTTTGATAGCCCTCTGGTTCTTTTGATGCCAAGTTCCCTTTCTAAACATTTTGTTTTAAACCGCCGGCCAGGTGATCTTCAGTTTCTGTGTTGCTGCTACAACCTCTGTTAAGAAGAAGGAAATTGGTCCCTTTATTCCCATCATCCTTCTGATCCTATCTTTTCCTCTCTGGCATGGACTTCTCATGTTTGATGTATTGTGTTGTTGATGCTGCTTAGAAGAAAAGTAAATATGAACATCATCTGTGAGTATAAAAAAAGCAAGCTACTCCCCCTGCTAATTATTTCTAGCCTGCCTTTCTCCCCAAAAAGGACGCAAGGTGGTTTACATCATCAAAATAGTATTTAAAAGCTAAAAACAGTAAGTGTACAAATATTAAACAAGTACTTTGATGTATTGTGTTGTTGATGCTGCTTAGAAGAAAAGTAAATATGAACATCATCTGTGAGTATAAAAAAAGCAAGCTACTCCCCCTGCTAATTATTTCTAGCCTGCCTTTCTCCCCAAAAAGGACGCAAGGTGGTTTACATCATCAAAATAGTATTTAAAAGCTAAAAACAGTAAGTGTACAAATATTAAACAAGTACTATATTAAAGTGGTAATTAAGATAAATATTAAAACAACAGAGCACAACAGTCCATTCAGAACCCCTCTCAGACCAACAGTCATTAAGAAAGTAAATATGAACATCATCTGTGAGTATTTAAAAAAGCAAGATACTCCCCCCGCTAATTATTTATTTATTTAAAGTATTTCTAGCCTGCCTTTCTCACCAAAAAGGACGCAAGGTGGCTTACATCATCAAAATAGTATTTAAAAACTAAAAACAGTAAGTGTACAAATATTAAACAAGTATTATATTAAAGTGGTAATTAAGATAAATATTAAAACAACAGAGCACAACAGTCCATTCAGAACCCCTCTCAGACCAACAGTCATTAAGTAAAAGCCTGTCTGAAGAGAAATGTCTTTGCCTGCCTGCTGAAGGACAGCAAAGATGGGGCCAGCCTAGCTTCCTGTGGGAGTGAGTTCCAGAGTCTGGGAGGGGCGACAGAGAAGGCCCTCTCCCGTGTCCCCACCAAACAGTCTTGTGAGGGTGGTGGGACCAAGAGAAAGGGCTCTCCTGATGATCTCAGTACCCAGGCAAGCGCATAGAAGGAGATGCTGTCTTTTAGAGAGATTGGACCCAATCCATTTAGGGCTTTATAGGCTAAAACCAGCACTTTGAATTGTGCCCAGAAATGGATCAGTAGCCAGTGGAGATGTTGTAACAGAAGAGTTGTATGTTCCCTGCACCCAACCCCGGTTAAGAAACTGGCTGCGTCATTTTGGATCCTTTGAAGTTTCTGAACACTTTGCAAGGGCAGCCCCACATAGAGCGTGCTACCAATCCATTTAGGGCTTTATAGGCTAAAACCAGCACTTTGAATTGTGCCCAGAAATGGATCAGTAGCCAGTGGAGATGTTGTAACAGAAGAGTTGTATGTTCCCTGCACCCAACCCCGGTTAAGAAACTGGCTGCGTCATTTTGGATCCTTTGAAGTTTCTGAACACTTTGCAAGGGCAGCCCCACATAGAGCGTGCTACAGCAATCCAGCCGAGATGTAGCTAGGGCATGTGTCACCATGAGTAGAGCAGTTTTAGTTCCCTGCACCCAACCCCGGTTAAGAAACTGGCTGCGTCATTTTGGATCCTTTGAAGTTTCTGAACACTTTGCAAGGGCAGCCCCACATAGAGCGTGCTACAGCAATCCAGCCGAGATGTAACTAGGGCATGTGTCATCATGAGTAGAGCAGGCCTCTCAAGAAACGAGCACAGCTAGCGCACTAGTTTGAACTGTGCAAAGGCACTCCTGGCCACTGCTGAAACCTGGGCATCCAGGAGCAGAGATGAACCCAGGAGCATCCGCAAGATGAGTACCTGAGTTGTCAGAGGGAGTGTAACCCCATCTAGCAAGGCTGCAACATAGAGCATGTTACAGCAATCCAGCCGAGATGTAGCTAGGGCATGTGTCACCATGAGTAGAGCAGTTTTAGTTTATTCACCCTCTTCCGGTCCATTACTGACACTAGACACTGATTTAGAACCAAGACGGCTTCCTTGGATTTAGGTGAAAAGGAGTTTGGATGTCATCAGCATGTACTGGTACCGAACCCCAATGCTGCGGAGAACCTCTCCCAGCGGTTTCATGTAGATGTTAAAGAGCGTAGGGGCCAAAACAGAACCCTGAGGGACACCACAGGCCAACGGCCAGGGTGTTCAACAAGAGTCCCCCGGCTTCCCCTGCCACCAGAAAAGAGTGCCTCCAAGTCCCATCCCGGAGAGACGGCCCAGAAGGATATCCTGGGCGATGGTATTGAAAGCCACTGTGAGATCCAACAGGGATACATTCCCCAGGCAGTTTCTGGCACAGGTTGTCCAGTGCATTAATGTTCTTTTCCTGGAAGGTGTTGGTTTAGTTTTAGCTGCAAGTTTTGAATATATATTCTTAAGTTCAGTTGGCGGATGAATCGGTGGAAACTTCAGCCACTAATCTTGCTGCCTGCTGTCAGAAACGGGAAAGGAAGGAGTCTTATAATGTCACGTCTCTTTGATGACTCTGCTAGGTGTTGAATTGGGCCACTTCTTAAACTGGGCAGTGGAGTTTTCATATCTGCAGAGTTGGATTCTGTTTGTTCCACCTGGCCAAGAGCAATATTCCTGCCGGGTATATAAGCACCTGTGGTTTTTTGTTGTTGTTGTTGCATCACTTTGAAGCCACACAAAAGGAGACTTTGTAACTGGAACAAAAAAATGCTGACTTCCCCCCCCCCCAGTTGAGTGTTGGGCTTTTCTGGATCTTTCTCAATATATACAACTCCCCACCTGCTTCAGCCTCCACACCTTTAAAATCTGTTGCCTGTACCCCTTTCTTCTGAAACATTAATCTGTTGAGTACAGTTGCTCTTTTTTTTGTGATATCTTTATCCTGAATGCTTCCTCATATTTGTGATAGCTGTTTGATATGGTAACCAGCAGTATTACCACCACTACTTATTTGTCTCTTCTTACTGGAGGTTGTACGTTGTCACAGTCTCCTTCTGCTAGTAAACAGTACTATGAGTTCAGTGGTAAAATCAGTTGGTCAGCTTTCTCTCCTAATAGCTCAGGCTGGATTAGCCCTATATCCTTATCTTAACCCTGTAAATTAGATTAAGTTGAGAGAGAATAATTGAGTCAAGGCCACCCGGTGGGTTGAAGAACTAAGCATGAGTTTAAACATGCATCTACGGCATCCCATTGGGTCCGTAAAAGTACACCATTAGATGTGTTCCAGCAGAGCCATAAGCATCCACAAAGAAGATCAAGCTTTTATCA